CGTAAATTGTCAGTTATAATAAAGTAGTATAATCTACCTCCGTTTGGATTGTCATGGTTTATAGCATTAGGGTTCAAGTTACCGAGCATAAGCATATAAACGAATGGGACTCATATGGGCCATTCAAAAGTATCAAATAGCTATCCGCCTGCGGATACCCCAATGGGTGTTTAAATACAATCGGTGCCTCCGCGAGTCGCTAGATGTCATATGGGAAAACTCAATGGGGTCGTGGGTAGCTACACAGTTTGATTCTGTTTCTGACGACAATCCGGGGTCGATATGTTATTTCGCGACGAAACTTCAATTAAAAAATATAGCTATTATAAAATGGTTTCTAGCACGTTGATTGCCTTTACGGCTACGCAGATTGGTTGAATTAGAGCTAGATCGCCTTGTTTCTGTGGAGATTTAGGAGGATTCCTCTAATGTTGGGACAAAAAATGACGTGATTCGTATTTGCGCTGACAAGGTTAATCGTTGGATGACTTACTGGTAAATATTCAGGTGGGGAACCAATTTACAGTGATATATTTAAAGGATGCATATCTACAAAAGGCCGTAGAACTAGATTCCAATAATATTTGGTCATCTCGACGAATAAGGGATATTTTCTTTGCCGAAGGATCCCTTTTGGACTTTCGTGCACTTCAACTATTTTATTCTGGAATAAAAGCAATGAAATCTATTTTTCGGTTGTATTTTTGGTGGCCTAAGTGTGAAGTGGATATCGAACGGTATATAAAGTTTGTTTTGTGTGTCAAAAAACGTCCAAACGTAATGGAGCTCTTAAACTGATGAAATATTACTAATGTAAGCGTATACATTTAGAAATTGCAGAACCAGTTTGACTAATTATATTGGGTAGTGAGAGTATATTTATATTAAAAATAGACAAAGGTTGATCTGACGAGAAGCGCATCGGCGAAAGAGATGATAACGAGATTTAAAAAAGTGGTTTGTTACATTTGGGGTACCTAAAATAATGTAATTGACAATGGACCCTCAATTTATTTCTACAGAATTTAAGCTATATTGTGAGGAAAACAGCTATGCCACGTTCGTTCAACTCCATACCACCTGCATGATTCGAACCTTGAAAGGAAAGTATTATACCAGTCGAAAATCAACTAATAATCTACAAGTAGCAATGTCTCAAACGGTAACAGCGTAAGGCTGAGAGAATATAGTTCTATGGGTAAGAAATTAGTCAAGATTGGGCTCGTCAATTAGATATAGTTGATTTTAAATATATTTACAATTAATATAATATTGGGTGAGGTTAACTCTCTAACACCCATATAGCATCACTTATAATTACCTTACGAAATCGATTACAACCTTGTGTATGTATATATTGAAGATTGAATAAACATGTGCATGTAAGTTTAGTATGAGCAAATTACTTTAGGGACTCAGGGGGCTCGAGACCCTGCACCTGTCCCCTCCCCACGTGACGCTATTGATTACTTGTATATTTAAAATGTTGTTCAACCAAGCAGCTGTAAGTAAGTATTGCTATAATGTTTATGGGTATATAGTGGCTGACAAACCTTGGCGCAATATGATAATCAGAATTTTTCTTAAAAAAATTTTTTTTTAATTATTGTATACAATACAACCCATTTATATTAGTGTTGATAAACGACTCGTTTTGAGCAGATTTTTAAAGACGGCTAACTCATTTAGTCAGAAAAATATGCCTAAGCCTCTAGAATTCTAATAGATGCCCAAACCTCTGTTCCTTCTACAAACATAATCTTCAGGCTTGAGTATTATTATTTTCCAAACCTTTGTTCCTTCTACAAACATAATCTTCAGGCTTGAGCAATATTACTCTAAACACCAATTTATATTGTGTTTTACCATTTTTTGAATATAAGAACGATGGACTTGTTAAGGGATAGGATTGTGGTATTTTATACATTTTTATTTACTCATATTTTTCATAACAGATGTATTAGTTTTGAGAGGGCGAATTGATTTTATTATAGCATTTTAAAAAGAATTGTAATAATCACTTTTTGATTTAAAATACTTCATTGTAAATAAATGATAAGCATTATAATATGCGCAGCCATTTTTTGCGTTAAAAAAAATTGTTCTAAGCTTTCATCTATTTTTGTTTTTAAAATCTTGTTGGGGTTTTAAGGGATTTCAAAATTAAAAAAATAATAAAATCGATGCCATCAGTTTTTAAAATACAACCACTGTATGTAATGCTCATCAATTTTTTAAACATTTTATACTATACGAATATATGTTGATAATAGAATATATATATATACTTTCCACTCTTGTCAGATTCATTAAATCAAGAAAATTGTAGAATTCTTCTAAAAAAAAATTATATCTTGCTAACAAAATATTTTATACCAAAATTTAAAATATTTTAAGATCAATTAAAAGAGCTCTTAATATTGCTAAACCTATTTAAAAGAATGAGAGCTACCGCTAATGAGTCTTTCTTAAAGAAGTGACGTTTTTTTAACCGCTCCTTTGAATTTAAATTTTATAATATAAAGTTAATTGTAGTATAAGAAAATGGATTGGCCAAAAAAAATTATTTATTTTTATAAGTAATAAATTTTCTATATTTAAATCTGGACAAGCACTTCTGGCCTAAGATCTGTTTAGCAATACTGAGTAAGTTATCAACAAGAGCACTCTAGAAGGGAAAGAGATATTGTGAATTTATTTGTTAGTGTTTGCAGTTAAAAAGCCTGATTTGAGACCACTTTTATAAACGGCCCTATCCAAAATAATATTATGTAAACCTTTTTTACAGAGTCTCAGGGCTTAAATAATATTATTTTTGTTATAATCATAATCGGTTCATTTAAAAAAACCGACTCTAATAGGCCTTTTTAACAACACTAATTGTAGTACTTATTTTAGAAATATCAAGTTAAGGATTCTAATTCTGATTGGACAACACTAGGCTCCGTGCTTCTTTTAATGATGTTTACCTATCAATGAACATGTTCAAGAAAAAAATTAACTCAGGGCTAAAATTTTGGCTCTGTTAAATTCGATGTGTTTACAGATCAATACAGAAGAAGAAACTGTTTTACATTTACACTTCATTTGATAATTTTTAATTGATTTGCTTTACTTTAATAACTGATTATACATACAGGTGAGACTATTTAAATTGAGATTGATAAAATAAAAAAATTTAATTATAAAAAGTAAAAAATGCAAATAGTCACAGACGCTAGGGCTAGGGTGTTCGATTATGTGAATATGAACACCACTTATTTTTGGGTAACGGTTACACATTCTGGTTACGGTAGATGGTATAAAAAGATACCCTTTGTTGAAAATCTCATCAAAGAATTAGAGATTTTATTACTGCTCTAAGATATAAAACTGCTCGCGGCAGATCAAAGAAAATGCCTAGGTACAATAGATCTAACATCAGACATGTTAGATCTGATATCACTGATCCATGCCCAGATACCCATTTTCAAATTGGCAATTCCAATGAATATAAACAATAATTCCACGGATAGAAAACCTTAATAAATGTCCCAACACGTTGGCACAGTATATTAATTATGCTAGAAAGCATATCTGGATTAAATAAAAATTTAATTAATAATTTTTTGAAAAGAAATGAGAAATACTTTCTCATAAAATAATAAAAATTTGAATCTAATCTGGTAGAAGAACTATTAGCATTTCTTTCAAAATTTAAAAAAGTCGAATTTCTTTCAGCACAAAAAGGGCCTATGTTAAACTTAGCGATGCTTCTTAGAAGTGAAATTGAAACACATTTAAGAGTAAATGATAGTGATAGTTCACAAATCACTTCACTTATTAAGAAAAATATGCTAAAAAAACTTGCGTTACGATTTTCCATTTGTGATCTGCAAATAATAATAAATATATTTCATTTATTGAATTAATTTTTTATTTAAAAAATTATCTAGGTATTGGCTTCTCTTTTAGATCAAAGATTTCAAAAATTAAAAATTATGTCAAAGTATATAATAGAGCAAAATTGCTCAACTTCAGAATTTATAATAAAGCATTTTAAATAGAGAGAAATTCAGGTAGTAAATATGGCTATTGTGGATCAAGAGGAATTATTAAATTCAAGTTATTTGACAGAATTGGAAAATAAACATTCAACAAATACAAATTATGATTCCATGTTAGGTGGCATTGGAAAACGACATTCTCAAGATATGGATGTTCTAAATTTATGGAAAGAAAAGAGGAGTGAACTTCCCAATCTTTCCAGGCTCGCCAAAAAAATCTTTGTATTCTCGCGACCAGCACACCCCAGCTGGATCGACGTTGATATTCAAGGAGATCGTCATTATATCCAGAAAATTTAAATAAAATAATTATTATAATTATAAAATTACCAAATCGATTTTGGATTTATTATGAGTTTTCTTCTTAAATTAAGGTTAAAAAAAATATGCGAGATATCTGTAGTTGTAGTGTAAATTTCATTTTTATTTTTTTTAAAAAAACATTAAAAATTTATAACACCGTTTTCGATTTAGGCCGCTTTTGTTGACGGGGGCTAAAAATAGGTCCGCCGCTGCCAATAGTTTTGTTGGCGCACAAGGTTAAATATTTTTTTGGAACACAACTATAAAATAGTTGATCATAAAGTTTTTACTTTACCGTTTATAATAATGTGTTTAATTTTTAATGTTTTTAAAATGTATATATACATAGATAATATAATATATTTTATATATAGTTTTTATAATATATAGCTCTTTAATGTTATTATATAAATTACGATTTACGATAAGAATTAAAAGCCCGCAAATGATTCGTAGTTTGAAAAAAATGTTAAAATAAACCCCATAAACACTAAATGTTTTCTGTAATGGTTATTTATATGTATAAATGTCATATTATAATAATATATATATATTTAAGATTAGATAGATAAAATTTATTGACATAATTTTATATACAAGAATTTAAGCTTTTTCCATATTATATTTTTATAATATAACAGGATAATATACTCCCTTATATTTTATTTGATAAATAAGTTAATATTGTTTTGCTTGTAGTTCCTATTTGTACCCTTTTCAAAATGTTTGTTCCAAATCTTGGTAATAAGATATGACAGACAGCAAACAATAAATCTATTAATTTTTTTTTTTAAAAAGTATATTATTTATAAAAATATGGAAGAAAGAAAGTAACAATGGAATGGTCTTTAAAACAAAAAAAAAAGAAGAGAGAAAGTGATTAAAATGGAAACATTGTTATATAAATAGAAAATAAAACGATGTATCGGACCTATATGAATAAGAACCAAACTCCCGTTCGGGGTAGGTTTCAGACAAAAATTTTCTAGGGTTAGGTCGGGCTGGATCTTAATCTCAAAATTTCAATTCGGTCGATGCCAGATTCCGGTAAAATTTTCAGGAATAGCACCAATATTTCTTATTTTCCTTTAGGAGTTAATAATTTTCCCTCCTACATTAGGAATTATTTTCTTTATAAAATCTTTTATTTCGAATTTAATTTGATCGTGCAAAATACGTTTAAAATAATTTATCGGGTCGGGTCGGGTCGGGTCGGATATAAAAGATCGTTTATAGGAACACCTATTGAAAGTTCCTCAAAAAAAATAATTTTACTTACCCAAAAGGATACGGAGATTATTAACGAGATGCCATATGTTATAATTTGAGTTCCGTGCTAAAATATATGAAATAAAATTTATAAATTTTATCATTATTTTTTTTTTTTTTTAAAAATGATTTAAAATGATTTTTAAAATAGTGGTTGTTTAAACGGACTCTAACACAATCATCCAGAAAACACATATATATTTCCGCAAATCGCATAGATATTGGTCCAAGGAGATCTTGAGGTTAAGGCTAGGCTCCCCATACATATTTGATTCGTCTCAAGATCATAAACAAGAATCTGGCAGTTCATAGAACCAAATATTACAAGAGTATATCGGAATTAGCTTTTTGTAAGGTAAATATTGGTACAAAGAACTGCCAGTCTCTCAATCTTGAGACAAACCAATTAGGTATGGGGGGCCATTCCCGTCATTGTCTTTTTTCATTCTGGCCAAAATCTTCCGCATTTTAATCGGCGAGGAAAACTGAGCGATTTAAACAAACACTAATAAGTAAATATAATATAGGGAAAAAAATAACCCCCATAGCCAAAACAACGAGAGATGAACAGAAGGCCATTGTCAATCCGATTACCATACTTACCATCCACGGCCAAAAAAAGCGTCGGTTATTCTTTTCATTCAATATTGCGTAAATAAAATATGATTTAAAAAAAAAAAACATTTTTAATTTTTTATTATAATTGAGTAAATAGCTCTATTATTCGGTTGCACGGAAAAGTGTCAATCTTAGCCTTGGTAGTTTTCTAACTAGAAGATTAGCTCATCTCTGGAGGGGAAGGGGTTTAAACGAATATAGCTAAATGTTCAGCTGATATTTTTTTTATATTGAGACGCCCTTGTGGATTGGTATTTCTGAACAGTATTCCCGTCTATATAGCTTCATCTAAATTAGAATCAGTGGCATCATTCCTGGTCCGGTCCGGATTTTTTTTTAAATATAATGCATTTATTTTTGTTTTCTCTAGCTAATAATGGCGATTTCGGCCGTATATTTTATTTTTAAAAAAATTTTTAGAACCTGCCCAGCCCAGTCGAGCTTAGGGAGGCGCCTGCAGGTTTCCGGTCTAAATGATCTAGAGAGAAAGATTTAGATCCAAGCATTTCGCTCAGAAAGATAACCATTTTAAATTTGGCGTTTGACGACTCCAAAATTACTTGCCCTGACAAGTAATAATATTAATTATTCTTTTAGGGCTATGAATCAGTTAATATGGCTCCAGATTGGACATGTAAGGGAAGTTTTTACTTAGGGCTTTTAATTGATTAATACTCCCTTGTCTCTAAAACGATTTTACCCAAAAATGATTATTAATAAGGCAAGAAATTTTTTTTAATAAACTTTTCCCGTATAAACCAAGAATCGAGTCTTTTATAGAATATAAAAAATTAAGTTAGGATTCGTGTGTTAGGATGAAGATATCCATCCGGGAGATGCAAGGGGATCGAGAATCACTCCTGAGGAGCTTATAAAGTAAAAGACTATATGGATAGATACAGGAGTACATAATATCTATTTTAAATTATGAGAGATCAAATGTTTCAGGGGTTCTAATAAAAAAAATAGGTATATCATTTATTTATATTTTAAACTATCGGGCCTATAACTTTGTCACATGATAAAATTGGAGATTAAATTTTTAAATATAATTGGCTTAAAAAAAAAGAGAAGATATTTACACGTCATATACTATTATTAATATTGAAATCAGCGAAATTTCTAATACATCCTGCTAAACCACTGTAGGGTTTAAAAAAGTTAATGTCGAAATCCTCTTCCTCTGTATTTCGATGTCTTTTAATTTTAATTTAGCTACCCCTATTTATCATGTATGAGGCTTTCTAATTTTTTTTTGATGGACATATGGCATAAAACAAATAGATTAGAAGCTATATACAGAAGATTTGTGAGTTAAAAGTGACAGGCGTGGAAGTAAAGTTTAAAAAAATTTAAAAAAATATATACTCGTTGAATGCCTATTATCAAGAAAATGGAGGATATGAGCACGCATATGGCGAAAAACAGTTGAAATCCCCAAGCAATCATTATACCTTGCGTGATTATTTTATTTTTTTTAATTCAAAAAAGTATTTAAATGCAATATAATATATCATATGTGATAAGAGAAGAGAAGAGAAGAGAAGAGAAGAGAAGAGAAGAGAAGAGAAGAGAAGAGAAGAGAAGAGAAGAGAAGAGAAGAGAAGAGAAGAGAAGAGAAGAGAAGAGAAGAGAAGAGAAGAGAAGAGAAGAGAAGAGAAGAGAAGAGAAGAGATTTAATATTGAAAGATTTTCGAATCCTAATGGATTCTGTTATCCCAATACGACGTATGTAATATAATATAACTTTTGATGTTCCCTTCAGTGATTTCCGGGGGAAAATATTTTGTATCCTTTCTGTTCCATGCCGTCAAAGCGAATATTATAATACCGGAATGTATCAAAGAACCAATCTAAATAAAAAAAAGTATTTAGACAAAATAATTTATTTTTTTCCCCTTTGTATGGAGTAGGACTATGAGTTGGGCCCTTTCTGCAAAGGAGCCCTAAATTTTTTGTAAGCCGGCTTATAGAATTTTCCAACGAGATCCACATCAATCAAGCCAGAAAATTAGCATTTCTAAGTTAGGGCGATTCGCTTATCCGTGAATCAAAATTAACCGCCCAAGTCCGACATTGGGCGGGCAGACTCGAATAGGTTAGTACCTATGCGGAGGGTGATAATGATATATAATTGTGTTACCAAGGTAAGGACGGCAGATATTATACTTCCGGTTCTGGTGGAGAAGCAAAAGCAGCAGGATTTCAGCTTGAGCATTTTATCTTCGACTTATATTTTCTTTATCCTTTAAAAATTAAAGATTTCCCCTTTTTTAAAAAAATTGATTAATGTATCAATAATAGGTATGATAGGAAAAACATTCATAAAAAACAAAAAAAAAAATCTTTTTTCAAAAGTAAAAAAACGGTGAACAACAAAAAAAAAGGTCTTAGATATCCTTTTAAATATAATTTTAAAAAGGAATGAATCAGAATTACAATGATTGTTAAGAGAAATAATTTTATATAACTTAAAATGATATTTACGTATCTGATTTACGCTTCCCTACCCCCCCCCATCTGGATAAGCCACAAATTTCTCAACTGGACTAATAATATGCCTATTGGATGCGCCGGTTTGCTATCTAATATAATCTCGAATCACATCTTGGGGTGCGCAAATTTTTTTTGTGCGATCCTTAGAGTTAAAAAAATGAATTTATATCAGACCCCTTAAGCTTTAAGATTTATTTTAAAGGTTTCTCACTCATGCACGAGTTAAAATTTTAAATTAAGGAATCCCCTAATAGATTCAGTTTTATCGTCCAACCCTCTAAACTTTCTCTACTGTAAGATATGCAGTAGCCGTGTAACACGATTTTATATACATCATTAATACCCATCCTTTAAATTTGTCCTCATTTCCAACTCAGTGCTCAACCCTAATATCAATATCCATTGCAAAACTTTAAATCTATGGTAAAAATGATTGCCCTTCACGTTAAGATGAGACAAATACTGCCCTACCATAAAAATAGCATAAATTTATTCACACTCCATTTAATTATCTAATAAGGTTCCTTTGAAAGAAAACCCTTTTCTATTATATTAAAATCCAAATCCCTTTGAGGGGAATATCCTTGGCTACTTAATTCTCACTATTGAAGAGCTCAGAATAGCTATCCTTCATTTTTAGGTATATATGTCATATTTTTTGTCGACATCGAAGGCTATCATTTAATTCACTGAGGAGATTTTCTAGGAGCACTATCGCCCTCTTCAACATAATATTATCGATTTTAATTTTGGACCTCTTAATGGAGAATGATTTTCTCCATTTTAACTCACAAGTCCAAAGCAATAAAAGACCTTAGGAACTCTAATCCTCTAGTCAAATACTCTTCCTGGGAATACAGCTGCATAAATTTTTTAGACCCTCCGATACATTTTACAAATACATCTAAAATTTTTAAGACCCTCCGATACAATTTACAAATACATCTAAAATTTTTGGAATAAGTTTTATCATAAAAAAATATCGTCTCAATCTTCAAATTGAGGCTTAGTTTACAAGTTTAAGTCATCATTGAGTTAACTTAGCTAGGCCTAGTTATCCCAATTTAGGTGATTTAGCAACCATCTGCAAGTCGCCATATTGATTCATCAGCTCTTTGCGATTGGCCAACATTTTTATGATTCCCGCCATAGGTGACTTCCCGCCTCTGTTAATAAAATATTTCAATTTTGCGTTTTTTGTTCTTCCCATATTTATTTAACAGATGAGACGTAAGAGGAAAAGGGGGTTATATTTTATTTATTATATATATATAAAAATCAGAATTTTATTTACTTTTTTATATTAAATCCTAAAAAAAAAAAGAGGAAAAGAAAAAAATTGTAAATTCATTTGAATAAATAATTTGAATTATTTGAATATAGGCTGATAATGTTTATATACGTTTTTTTATACTTAATTTTTATATTAAAAAAATTTGGAACACATCCATAAATTATAAATATGTAGAGAGATAATACGGACCAAAATGCGGCTCATGAGACCTGTGGGCCCGGCCCTAAGCCCGAGTACCCGGGCCGGGCCGGGTTGGACCGACATATATTTTAAAAACCAAATTAAGTTTTTTTGCATATAGGAATTAAATATAGCTTCATTTCCTCCAAAAAAGAAACAAATTCTGGCTTAAGGGGATGCCGAAGGCAGCAGCCATAGTTACTCATATTATGGAGTTACTTTTGAGCTAGCATTCTTATAAATTGGGATCTGTTGGCTCGAGAATAGTTTGTTAATCATCTAAATTTTGGGAATCTCAACCATTGCTTTAGACTTAAATCCCGAAGTTTAGCTTCAAACTTGAAGATTGAGAATTTTTTTTAACAAAAAAGTGGTATAAAAACCTGGCTAGGCCATTTTGAAGTTGGCTAAAGGTATATGATTTAATACTACTATTTCTATAACATAAATTTAAATAACTTTTGGAAGAACAAAAAAAGAATATGTCAATCAAAAACAATTCCGTTCGCATTTATAATGAATAGCATGTACATGTTTTTTTTTCCAAATATTTGTCATTTAATAAATATCTGTTCGATACATTTACTTTGACTTCATGCTAGTGTTGTTAATTGGTTGGTGTGAAAAACCAGATGTTTGAGTCCTCTGAGCACCAACCCCGAGCACAGACCCGGGGTTCAGACCTAGAAATTTTATTAACGCATTCATGCGAAAATTGTTATATTTAAATTTGATATAATTTTGGTTAGTTTTTTATGAGAAATCTGATCTGCAGGCCCTAACCAAAATCCAGGCAGAGCTTTTTCAGGTCCTGCAGAAAAAATAAAAATTATATGCAAAATTATGAAAAATTCTTAAAGTTTTAATTTAAAAGGAAACTATGTTATATTACGAAATTTGCAGACTTTATGACAAACAAATCAAGGCAAATTGATTCAGGCCTATTATATTTTTGATGTATAAGTTAGCGTGAATGCTTTTTTTTCCGGCAAAAATGTGTTATTTTTTACAAATTTTGAATAATTTTTATGAGCATTTAAACATCTGATTTTGTCGGAAATGTATTCTAACATGTTTGGAAATACCCTATCTTAGGAATTGTAAACAAATTTTGAATAATTTTTATTAGCATTTAAACATCTGATTTTGTCGGAAATATATTCTAACATGTTTGGAAATACCCTATCTTAGGGAATTGTAAACAAATTTTGAATAATTTTTATGAGCATTTAAACATCTGATTTTGTCGGAAATATATTCTAACATGTTTGGAAATACCCTATCTTAGGGAATTGTAAACAAATTTTGAATAATTTTTATGAGCATTTAAACATCTGATTTTGTATATTCTAACATGTTTGGAAATTCCCTATAATTGTAAACAAATTTTGTTTCTAACCTTTGAGTCATTCATAATTAATACAAAAAAATATATTGAAATTTTTTTAATATAAATTATATTAAGTTTAAAAGTTCGTAGAAAGATTGTTCCGAAATTTATAAAGGGGGGGGGGGGGTAGGTATTCCAAAACATGACGGCGTGTATATCCGGTATAGAATCAAATCTTTAAATTTTTTTAAAAATAAGGCGCTTCAGAAAAAAAAACACTTTCTTTCCTTCCCTTCCTTACTTCCTTCCTTCCTTCCTTCCTATTTTATAATATAAAAAATTCGATAAAATATAATAAGTTAAGATAAAAAACAAAAAATTTAATACTTTGAAACGAAGAATGTCCAAATAATCGCTGGCGATAAACGCGAAAAGGAATTTGATGGTTGAAAGGTAGAAGAGAGAAAGAAAAATGATGGTAAAGCGTGGAGAAATTTGATAAAATTATACTTTTATTTGGCAAATTAAATTAATTTAAAAAAAATTTATTTTAAAAACAATTAATTAATGTAAATAGAAGTTATATTTTATTTTATATTTACTCAGGTGAATTACAAAAATGTTTAAAAGATGGCACCTCCTACCCCAAATAAATGATTATACCTACCCTATAAAATAAATCACCTCCTTAAAATGGCCAGATTATAGTGACCAATTCTTTGATCTATTCCTGCCTATCAATATCACTGAGAGAGGATGCCGAAGAGATGGACCTTTCCTAAGGAGTTGGGTAAAAATGAATCGGATTTTAACCGGAAATGGATTCAATCATGTTAGGAATACCCACCTAAAGAAATTCGGATAATCTTATCTTGAACTTTTAAACTTGATATAATTTATATTGGTTTTTTCATAGATTTTTCATATACAGGGTAGGAAAAGTCCTAATCATAAAAGGACAAGTCAATCATAAAAGGAAAAGGTCCAATCAAAAAAAGGAAAAGGGTCAATCATAAAAGGTTTAATCAAAAAAAGAAAAGGCCCAATCAAAAAAAGGAAAAGTTCCAATCAAATATGGAAAATTCCAAAAAGAAAAGGAAAAATTTCAATTCAAATAAAGGAAAATTCTCATTCAAAAAAGGAAATCTTATTTTTGAAAAAAATATTATAAATTTTTTTCTTGACAATTTTTCTATTTATTTTTATCATTCTTTCTTATTTTATTTCTAACTTTTTTAGCGATTTCTTTACTTTATTTTTTTTATTATATCTTTTCTCAATTTATTTATCTTCTTATTTTTGATTGTCTTTTTAATAATAATTTATAAATTTTCCGTTATTTCTCTTCACCTCTCTACTCCATTTTTTTTAAACAATTCTTTCCTTTTTTGTCATTATGCATAACAATTAACAATATTTTGACTTTCATAATTTTTTCTCCTTATATTTTAATCTTTTGCATACATTTTTAACTTATTCAATCTAAGTCATTTATATTCTTTATTTTCGATCTTTTTTCAATTTTTTTTTCTTCTCATTTTTGATAATTATTTTTAGGAAATTATATTTAATTTTCACCTTAATTTTTGGCACACAATTTTTTTTATATTAGAATTTTTTTACGTATCAAATTATTTAATTACAATTGCTAAAAGTAAATTAATCATTTGGTTATAATGTACTTTTTTTAAAAAAAGTTAGAACTATAATACCAAATAGAGGTGGGTGATAGGTTTCAGATCAGTGCTGTTTAAAATAAATATTGACAAATATCAGATTGGATCAGTGGAAATTGTCATCAGTACAACCCTAAAAATAGCCAAAAACAATAAGTATATTGGATCAGTTTTAATTGTCGGCCCAGTCTGATTTTTTTCAAAAATTCTATATCTAATATTTAATATAGGTACTCGGGCCGTGAAATTAGGCGTGACGGCGTGAGTGCGAATAAATTTTAAATTCCAAGACGTGACTGGGAGTGACGGGCCTTCCCTAAATTTTTCCCGGGCGTGATCGGACGTGAACATAAATTTCCCGTGAACCGCGGAAATTTTAATTTTTAAAATTGTTATTTTTTATAAATATAAATTAGCAATTTTATAATTTTATGATATATTTTCTTATTTAATTTAGTTTTTTTTTTTAAAAAAAGAATAATTTATGAAAGCTAAAAATCTTCCGCATTTTATAAACTACATCCGGTATCCATTTAGTTAGTTCTATTTTCTTTTTACGTTTAGGTGTTTTTTGTCGCGAGATCTTTATGCTAAATTTTGCTTAAACTTTTTACAGAAAAGTCAGTTATATTTTATTTATAAAGATCTTCAATCTTTAAATGCAACAGAAGGTGAAGAATTTTACAAGCTAGGCCAAGAGATAAATGTTGGTGTTACATATGGATAACAAAATATAAAAGTTGTGAACCGAAAAACTCTCATGAATACTATAGGTTTAAAAATATACCATGAAATAAAATTTAAGATCAAAAGCATGCAATAATAATTAATTGTCCATAATCACTGATATTTGGACGGATGACTATAAAAATCTAAGTTTTTTAACCATTATAGGACATATTCATTAAGGATTTTAAATTAAAAACATTATTTGGCCACAAGGGCAATGGATGAAAAAAACGTCAAAATTAAAAGTGTAATCAATTCAATTTTAGGAGAATATACATAAGTAGAAAATACTTAAATAAATGTGTTGTGAGTGATAACAGAGCAAATCTTAGTGCATTCAAAGATGAAGAAACGCTTGCATGTATATGCCATATACTTATTAATATTATGCATTATATTTTTGACAATTGTTTAACTGAAATAGCCATAAATATAAATGGTGTAAAAGTACAATATTTCAAACAATCTACAGCTAATAGCAAACTAAGCCACACCCTTAAACAAGTTGAAATAGCGAGAATAACTAAATGGAACTCTGTATATATCATGATACAGAGTTTCTTAAAATCATATTCTGAAATACAGGTGTACTTGTTTAGCAAGCAAGAATTAATTAGATTAGCCACAATGGATATCAGCATCATACGCGAGTTTAAATAAAAAATTTAGAGAATTTTTAGATGATTCTGATGAAGCATCAACATCACCGTCAACGATGAAATCTGTGAGGATGAACTTAAAAGATTCATATAAGATAAATAACAAGACGATATTTTGAAGTTTTGGAAGCAGGAATATTCATTTCCTTTTTTGAGAAAATTATCGAGTAAAATTTTAACAGCTGCAAGTTCGGCCTCTAGTGAAAGGTTATTTTCTGTAGCCAATCTCTCATTAGAGGAAAGGCGTACACAATTCAAATAAAAAAAGATGGACATTCTTCTATTTCTAAATAAATTTCGATTTCTAGATTGTATTTATTTTTCGTTATTAATATGGATTATGAAATTAGAGAAATAAAATAAGAATGAATTCAAAAAAGTGTGAAATTATAGCGATAGTTTTGAAAAATTTAAAAACACCGTGAATTTTCGGGCTTGACGGGCGTGGATCAAAATATTGATTGTCGTGAGCGGACGGGTCGGGTCGAAAATTTTTAAGTGGTAAGCGTGAGCGGGCAGGCCGTGAATAAAAAATTAGGCCCGCGCCCACCTCTAATTCAAAAAACTTTTTAATCATGCAACAGATAAATTTCAAATATTTTAAAATTTTCTTAACGTTCAGTTTTGTAATATATACTCTAAAATAATTTATAGCTAATTAAGCGAAAACACTGCCTAATTTAAGGTTATTACATTCATGTTTTGCTTAATCTTACCGAAACTAAATACGAGTTAATTAATAAATGCAGCGTTTTATGAAAAGCCTGATCTGCTGTGTTCTAGGGTTATTAATGAGAGAGCTATTTATAAATATAAAAATTAATTCTTTTTATTTACTATAAAATTTATCAAATAGCGGACCAGAATCAAATCCATTTTACTAAACAAATACGAATAAAATTTTGGTTCACCTGATACAAAGGTTGGGATTAAATGTTACAACTAATTTGTAAAAAGATTATGCTAAATTTTGCTCAAACTTTTTACAGATGGATTATGAAATTAGAGAAATAAAATAAGAATGAATTCAAAAAAGTGTGAAATTATAGCAATAGTTTTGAAAAATTTAAAAACACCGTGAATTTTCGGGCTTGACGGGCGTGGATCAAAATATTGATTGTCGTGAGCGGACGGGTCGGGTCGAAAATTTTTAAGTGGTAAGCGTGAATGGGCGTAAATTTTTTTATTGCCACCGTGAGCGAGCGGACCGTGAATAAAAAATTAGGCCCACGCCTACCTCTAATACCAAACGATATGTAAATTAAAAAAATATAATCATTTTTTAAAAAAGCAAAAAAAGAATAATAAAAAAAAAATGAAAAGAAATTGAAAAAAAGATCAGAAAAATAAAGATTAAAAATGACTTAAAGAGATCGAAAAGGTTAGAAATTTATAAAGAACAATGTAAGGAGAAAAAATCATAAAAAATATAAAAAAATGGAAAGTGTTAAAAATTTGAACATAAAAAATCGAGTAAAAAGCGGTAAAGAAGATTGACAGGAAAAATTTATAAATTATTTTTTAGAAAGATAAAAGAATTATCAAAAATGAAAAGAAAAATAAATTGAGAAAAGGGTAAGAAAAATAAAAATAATAATTTTTTTAAAAAAAATTTAAAAAATAACGATTATCCATTTTTGGCTGGGAATTTTTCTTATTTGATTGACACTTTTCATTTTTTGATTGAACCTTTTCCTTTTATGTTTGACACTTTTCCTTTTTTGACTTTTTCCAAAACCTTTTGTACTTTTCCTTTATTGATTGACACTTTTCTTTTTTTATTGGACCTTTTTCTTTTTTGTTTGTAACTTTTCCTTCTTGTTGTTTGATACTTTTCCTTTTTTGATCGAACTTTTTCCTAAACCTCTGGTACTTTTCTTTTTTTGATTGACTTTTTCCTTGTTTGAAACCTTTCCTTCTTGATTGGACCTTTTCTTTTTTTGTTTAATACATTTCTATTTTTGATCGGACTTTTTCTTAAATATTTGGGACTTTTCTATTTTAACGGACCTTTTCCTTTTTGATTGGACCTTTTCTTTTTATGATTGACACTTTTCCTATTTTGATCTGACCTTTTCCTTTTATGATTGAAACTTTTCCTTTTTTGATTGGGACTTTTCCTTTTTTGAATGGGAAACCCTGTATTCTAGCCGATTTTAAAGCTAGTCCTAAAAAGACTTAGCCGATTCTTAAGCTAAGAATCCCATTACGAAATACTAATTTTATACTATAATAAACTTTTTAACTAGTTTAAAACAAAGCAACAGAATTTTTTTGTGTTTTACTCTTGACATAAGATAACCACAATTGGTTTTAATCTTAGGCGGTTTTGTAGTTGAATTTAAGCTTTGTAACAGACTTTAAGTGGCTTTTTAGCCTACTATACAAAGCTTTGTAGTCTACCTGCCGTATTAGTCGAAATAACTAATCAACTAAAAACTCACCAGTCACAAGTGGTTTTGTTCTACTACGATTTCGAGGTTAGGTATAAAGTTCACATATGCACACTATCAAAATATATAATAATAAATTTTTAGGAAGAATGCTTGACATAATCCTGAGATCATTATGGGTCGGATAGGCCCACGACTCTAACGGGGACGGGTATGATATTATATTTTCTAGCGGACGTGGTTTTTGAAAAAAAAAATATTCATGGACTTAAGCCTAAATTTTTTTTCATTTATATTTACCTTTTTTTAAAACAATAAACTTTTAAAAAAAATTTAACAATTATTTTAAATTTCAGTATTGCAAACAAAATGATTGCTGAAAATATGGTGTTTTCTTGGGAAAATTTTTGAAACTCTTCATGTGTTTGAGCAGGGCTTGAAATTTTATTTTCATATTAAATATGTACCGGTCCGGTGTTTAGGCCTTTAAAAATTTCTAGTCAAAAAATTGAGGTCCATGAAGTTATCTGATTTAGGCCTTGGTAATCACGGAAAAAATATAACATTGATCTTTATCTCAATTAGAGATCTGCAAAGTTACGCCCGAGTCCGACCCGGCTAGAGTCCGACCCGGCTAGAGTCCGACCCGGCCCGAACGGGCTTCGGGCCGGGTTCGGGCCTAATTCTATTTAAAATAATCGGATTCTGGCCCGGCCGGGCATATTTTTTTAAAAATTGGGCCGAGTCGGGTCGGATTTTGGAAATTTTTTTTAAATATAACTAAATTTATCAATTTTATAATTGAATTTTTTTATGTAAAATAAAAATTTTTGATTTTATTTATTGAAACTAAACGCCATATAAAATACGTCTTTTATTTTTGAGTAATTATAAAAATTAATTGTTACATTTTAATAAATGAAAAATTAGGCCCTATGCAGATCACTAATCTCAATGCTTAAGATACAAAATCAAGTGTAAATAATGAAAAATTTATTGTTGGTGTTGAGGGTTTGCGATGAGACAATTTGCACATAGGGTTTAATATTGATCCATATTCTTAGCATCGCTAAAGCTTCGTCGCGATTAGGTACCACTATAAAAACCTTGTCTTTTCATGTGATTTTTAAACATTTTTCTAATGTCAGATTGAGTTTATAAAAAAAACAATTTTATTCTTATACAACACCAAATTGTGATCCTGAGCTATAAAATAGTAAATGGAATACAAATTTCGAATTGAAAAAATATAAGTAGATATATTATAATACTTTGATATCCTTCTTTAAAAAGAACATAAAAAACAAATATAAAAAACACCATTATAATTTATTTTTTTTAAATAAAAAGGGAAATTAATTGTAGTATTATAAAACGAATTATAATATTATATTTGTTACAGATGTTTAGATTCGATGCTTTTATAGGTTATTATCGTATCATTTTCGAAAATATCGTTCCTTTATCCTTTTCAACCCCCTAACCCTAGCTCTTGGTAATGAGATATGACGCAGAGCAAACCGTAAATCTAAATTAAAAGAAATAATAATTAAACAACTAAAGGGTGAATTAGGAATGAGGGAAAAGAATGGGAATTTTTACCCTTTAATATTTACGTGGAAGATTGTGACCATGCGTCAATTAGAGCAGCTATTATCCCACACTGAGTAATATAAAAATATTTCTAAGAAGTTATACTGCCCGGTCCTATTGTCCTTTTATCCGAATGCGCCGGAATTTTAAGTCAGGTCACCCCGATCGTTAAAATATATTCCAAATTTCATTTATTTTGGTTTAAGATACATGTAAACATTTTAAGAAGGATGTGATATGGGTTTATCAGACTCCAATATACTCCATCAGTTAGTTTTTTTTTAAAAAATCTGCAGGTCCGGCCCTAAGCCCGACCCGAATTTTATAAAAAATACCCGGACCGGGCCTTATATTTTAAAACCAAATATTTGAAATGGCCATTCTCTATATATATAATCACCGTAATCAAAAAACGAACGTTCTCGTATATCCTTAATGTTAATTTTTATTTTTCCCATCAACTTTCCTATCTTCTTAATGTTAATTTTTATTTTTCCCATCAACTTTCCTATCTTCTTAATGTTAAATAAATTAATGGAGACTATATCTCTCTATTGTTAAATTTTAAGAAAATTTTTTTATATATAACGGGATTCGAACCCATGACTTAACGTTTTAAAGGCAAGCGTTCTTTCCACTCAACCACCTTCTATATTAAATTTTGTAATATAATCTTTCTTATATACGTTATTATTTTGCTGTTATTTTTTATTTTTATTGGTTTATTAAGGTCTTATTTCATTGGTTTAAAATTATTTTCTCTCTATTTCATTGGTTTAAATTTATTTTTTTTTGTTTTATTAATTGTCAATCCATCTTTAGATTGCATTCAACTCCTCCAATTATCTGACAGACTTGGTGGTCATGAATGGTTAGAATCACTCCCTAGTGCAACCTTTGTAATCTCTTATCAGATGAACAACTGAGAGTAACCATTGGTTTACGTCTAGCTTGCGATATAGTACAGCCTCATGCCTGCATCAAATGCAAATCACCTGTTGATTCAAAGGGTAGACATGGCTTAAATTGCATTTTTAGTCAAGTCAGCTGTAAACCATAAAATAAATAGAAGCTTAACAGCTGCACACATTCCTAACAATCTCGAACCATCAAATTTATCTCAAGTAGATGGTTTAAGACCTGATGGTATGACAACCATATCTTGGACCCTCGGCAAATCACTCTTATGTCAAACATAAATTTCAATTTAATAACACAGGCAGAAATTAATAAGACAAACAAATACAAAAATTTTAAAAACTTTTTATTCACTCCAGTAGTGACTTCTACTAACGGGTATTTTTCGCCTTCAACATTTATGTTTTTATAAAAATCTGGGTAATAAAATACGCCTTTTCACAAATGAACCAAGAGAATTCCTTTTTATTCGACAAAAAATTCAAATAGAAATTTTTAGACACAATTATGGTTCCTTTTTGGGGACTCAATTACAGAATTTTATTTTTAATTATAAATTTATAAATTATAATATTTTTAATTAGGTTTTTGTGTATATTATATAGTAATTAATAAATAGCTTGAAGTTTTAAAAAATAATTATAATTTAGTTTAATTAATGATTTTTAAGAAGATCACAACCTTTTTTAATTTACGAATCAAATTAAAAATTATTTCTTACTCTGTCAAAGTAGAATTATAGCTTGAAGTTTTAAAAAATAATTATAATTTAGTTTAATTAATGATTTTTAAGAAGATCACAACCTTTTTTAATTTACGAATAAAATTAAAAATTATTTCTTACTCTGTCAAAGTAGAATTATAGCTTGAAGTTTTAAAAAATAATTATAATTTAGTTTAATTAATGATTTTTAAGAAGATCACAACCTTTTTTAATTTACGAATAAAATTAAAAATTATTTCTTACTCTGTCAAAGTAGAATTATTATATTTTTCGCGATTTTTGTTTTATTAATTTTAGTAAAATAAAAGATATCGTAATAGGTTTTTTTTTGTACAGTTTTAATATATTTAAGAGTTTAGCGGTTTTAAATCCAGTTTAATACGATCACAAGAATGTCCGCTAAGTTCAGTCCCCCAATCCCATTCTTCGACCAATCAAAACAACAAAAGTATAAATTCTGTCCGCAAGTTGGCGCACTATCGTTTATTTTTTAAAAATAAATAAATATTTGATTGTTGTTTTTCCTCTTATATTATATTTCTTAAAATTATTATACTTAAAAATAAAAGTTTATTAAATTTTAAAAAAATTGATTTGAAATAAATTACGGTTAAAATCACTAAATTTGGAATATGGTTTTTTTTTTAAAAAAATATATATTTCAAATGGTTAAGTTAATGCTTATTATTATGTCAATTATTTAATTAAAACACCAAAGTCTAATTTTTTAAATTATAAAGCAATGTGATATGAGTATGGAAACTAAGGTAATATACCCCTGTTAATTTTATTCGTTTAAATCTTTAAAAGAATACAATAAAATTTTCAATCATTAATAAAATATATATATATTATATATAAATAATATTTTTTCACGTGGAAACTTCTTTTGGCGGCTACTGGAGGTCTAAAAAGTTCTCTTCAGTATGGGTCTAGAATAGCAACGACGGGGTGCAAAAACTAATTCTGGAAGGGCATCAGATTGTAGGAGCCTGGTTACAAAATTTCTTAATGATTAAATGAGAGGGAAGAGTGGCCAACCTGGAAATCACCATCAAACGTAGAAGAAGGAAATACAATTGTTTAATTTGCACCGAGCAATTTATTGGTAAATGAGTATTTATTAATAAAAAAAAAAGAGTGTAGAAAAAAAAGCTCTTAATAACGTTTTTTTATTAACATATAAAATTTTTCGGGAAAAAACCTTAAGGGCGCAACCCTAAATAGAATCTATGTGTGTAGGACAATTTGATGGGTCCGAAATTGCGGTTTAAAACCAAATTGGGAGTGGTTCTCAGTGACAGAACATTTATTCCTGATTTATGGTTGGTAGAAGAAAAATGATGAAACGGGCTGGATCGGATTACCAAACTTGGTCTCCACCTAATAATTATTGGGATATTTTTTATAATATAAATAGGGTCTTGGCAGTAAATAATGCTGAACGAAATAATTGCGGATAGTAATCCGAAATAAAATTCGTGAAATGGAAATGGCAGATTTGGCAAGTGAATCCCCTCATTAATTCTTATATTTGTGAAATTTCCTATAAATTAATTGTTGAGTCGTATAGTGTTCTAAAAATAACATTGAAATTAATGAAAATCGAATTGTGTATTTTGAATTTAATAAATCAAAATAAAGTCCGTGAAGATATAATATGGTATAATTTTTGAAGACTGTTTTTCTATGATTATCAAATCTTCACCCATTTATTTAGCATGTCGACGAGGTCCTTTTGAGTGGGAAAAGAAAATAGGAGAAGAGTTATAGGGTCAAAGATGAAATTATTATTCCGGTGGAATATAGTGAATAGGCCACACCGGGTTAATGTTAAAAAAATCAAATGAAAATTAAGTCTGTGCGCCGATTTTCGCGTAACATTAAGCCCGTAAGTTGTTGAAGCTAAATAGCCATAACCTAGAATTTAGAAAATTTTAAGCCAATTTAATAGGGGCAAAATATTTATCCCAAAGTTGATTTTTCATCAGCGTATTTGCAGTTACCCTTGAAAGAGGAAATTGGCAAGTTACTAACAATTACTACCTCGAAAGGTTAATTTTCTTGGCAGATTACCTTTAGGGCTAAGTGTGTCAGCACCTATTTTTTCAACGTATATCATGGCATCTGTTTTCCAGGGATTTAGAAGGTGTATTTTACTATATGGATAATGTGTTGATAACTATGGTGACACCAACTATTTGTATGAGTAATATTGTTTCCTTAAATTTTTTTTTCTTATAAAAATCGTTAATTTTATCGGTTTGAATTTTATTTGCTTATTATGTGTCAAGTGACAGTAAATTAAATAAGAAAAGAAAGAGACAGCTATGGAAACTTTTAATGTTTCACGGTTATAATGGTATGTAGTATATATATGGTTATCTATTGTGGATAATTTTTGTTGACTCAAAAAATTCAAAGAAATTAAATAAAGTGATTTTTTATAAGAAAAATAGCGTTTAATGTTATTCATTTTGAATTTTTAATAATTTTTCGATATTTATATTCTGTGACGGTATGTTATATTATATACATATTTGTGGAAATGTCCATTCATTTTTATAGTTATTGTATTGTAAAAAAATTAATAAATTAAGATCATAAATTTTTTTAAATTAATTATGTACAGTTATGATCTTATCTTCCCTTATTGGACGGTGGTCCATTATATTTGCAGATAAATGTCATTCCTATAAAACCCAAAAGAGTCACGAACATATAGGGAATTACAAAAAAAACAAATAATAAATGACAATAATAGCCGGAAGATTTTGAAATATGTAATGCCAATGAAGACATCTGCCAATTCAACACAACATTACCGATGTCTTCCTTTTAATCATATCATGATAGATTGTGATGTGCCAGAGTATGCAATCTCCAGAAGGAAGAAATGTCAAATGGTTCAAGATACTATACCATCGATCCACAAAGTTCGAAGTCGAAGAATACGAATATCGACAACAAGCAATGATCGCCGATAAGTTATCAAGGGGGCAAGATAATGGAACCGCAAGATATATGGGAGATACAATAAACACATGATAATATTAAATTCGAAATGTTAAAATCAGAGGCCTGTGCTAAGGTTTGGCCCGGTCGGATTTTTTAAAAATGTGTTATATTTATTTTTGATTTTTTAGCTAACAAGTTTCAGAATACGATCTTTATATTTTCGGTTTTCGCAAAGTGCCAACACTTTCCTACTTTGCTTATAACTCACGAACGGTTCATTCCGCTGCTGTTGGGATAGAAGATCAAAGGATCAATTAACGGGCTACACAATGTTTTGGTAATTGATCCTCAAATTGTTTCGCCGGCTTCATAACTCATTATTCCGCTAATGTCTGGAAGACTCTAAATATTGGCATAGGTTTTGTTAATTGATCCTCAGTTTATTGTAATATAGTATGTTTATTTATTTAACAACAAAAAAAAAAGGATATATCAATTTAAAATGAGATATATATATATATTAGAGACCTGCAGAGGTTTCCATTTAAAACGGTCCGGCCGGGATTTTTTTAAAAAATATTATATTTATTTTTGATTTTTATAATAGCTAATAATGGCGATTTCAAATATTTTAAGATATATGGCCCGGCCTGCCCCAGGTATATTTAAAAAATTAAAGGCCGTGCCGGGTTTAGGACCGGGCCTGCCGGTTTCTGATTTATTATCATGACATGTTTTGATTCGATTATAACAAAAATTTGTAATAAACTATAAATCATGATTAATTAATAAGAATGGGGATATATATATTGACGTTTATCAAACCCCCACACTAAAACTTTTAAGATTATTCGTTTTCTTCCCAAATATTGAAGGGTTAAAAAAATAGGTAATATGTTAGATGCGAAGAAAATAGGAAATAATTAAAAATTAAATAAAGTTATTATAAGAAAAAACACAAAAAAACATACAATATTTATTATATAAAGGTAAAAAAAATGACCTTACCCAAAAAAGCGCAAAGACCATGCTGATAATTAAATATATTACGAAGAGTAGCACACCGTTCTTAAACATGAAATATTAAAAATAAAATTATTTTAAGCTTTTAAATCGATTATATTGTAAAAATTATTTTCAGTGTTGTTAAAGTTAGCCACCACCACTTTTTTGGTGTAGCTTTTAGTTTCCTTTTTATTAAGTTTTCTTTCCCCATAATCTTAAGAACAAATTATTATATATGTCGTATGGGGATATGGAATTGGCGGGGATTCGGAATCCCTTGATTTTAAATCCCTTACCGAGAGGTGATTTAACCGGAAATGAATTCTAAGCATGTGTAGAGTAATTTTCCCCATAAATTTCAGCCAATATCAGTAATAGACAATGAATATATCCCATTATAAAAATTATTATAAATTAGGAGCAGTTTTCTAAAGTTCGTGGCAAAATTGTTTGAAATTTACAGTTGGGGGTTACTCTGCACATGCCGAAATACGATTCCTGTAAAAATCAGATTCTTCGAAGTCTAAAGATCGCGCCCTTAGTAAGATTCAAAATCAAGAGAATTCGAATCCCAGCTGATTCTGAATCCCCCCACGACATATATAATTATATAGTAAAGGAATAAAACAGGTTATATATTTTGTAAGCCATTAAATATTTTTTTTTGAAAGGAAAGAGTTATAATTAAATTTTGTTCAAATATAAAAAGAAAATAATAATAATTGCATCTAATTAGTTTAATACATTTTTTCTGATGGATGTTTGTATTCTAAATATTTTTTTTAAAAAAAAGTTGTTTTCATTTTTTATGGGGGGGGGAGGATTTTACTTGTGTCTCCCAATTTTCCTATAATCCTAGGCATCGATACGATCATTACAGCTGAAAGGGTCAAAATTTAGAGAGGTAACGTTTTTTCAAATTTTCACTTTGTCGGTCCTTAGGTTCCCCTAGGCTGTAATATTATAAAGATAACTATTATCGTCGTGTTCTGAGACAGCCACCTTAGTTTCCTCGAATTTCAGTAAAAGATTTTTTTAATTTATCTTATTTTTTTTAAATATTGAAATTAAATAAATGTTTCTCGCGTAATATATTATATATATATTTCTTTTCGTATAAAAGCAGTTTGAAAGAAAAGGAAGCACTAATTTGTTATTTTTGTAAGCGTAATTTTATTTGGAGCCATAGATCCGCAAAACGGGTTCGGGCCGGGTCGGGCCTAAAAAAATTTTAAATAAATCCGGCCGGGCCGGGTCGGGCCTAAAAAAATTTAAATAAATCCGGCCGGGCCGGGTTTCACTAGTTAGACGCCCTACTTGTGAAAGTAGCCATTTTAACAACACTGCCAATTTTCTTTTTTCAAGTTGAATACCGATGATTTATTAAAGTTTTAATATATATATATCGTAAATAATAATAAATTACTTTAGGAGCCACTGTACTAAGCGAAGCAACAAATAATATAGAAATCAAGACTATAATTATTACGATTACATTATTCACCATCCATGGCCAAAAGTATTTCCGATTTTGCTTTCATTAAATATGGCGTTATAAATGATTATTATTTTAAAAATTCATTTCTGCATATATTTTTTTATTTAAACCGGATATATAGGAATTTTATCAGACATTTCTGGAACAGGAAACTAGCATTCTAGGGAACAGGAACGTAACTAGGAATCGCTAGAAGAAGAATTCATTTTTGAAATTTAACAGGGAATCGTTTCAATGATAACAAACCCCTAAACAAAGCGTAAAAATTTATATCTTTAAAAAAAAATTTGTATCGTTTTATTTTTTCGGAGGAATTAATATTTTTTTTAAAAAAAAATTTGCGTTTTTACCCATATTTGCCTAGTGTTCGAATATTGGAACCTCTGCTTTTTTGATCTGAAATTCACCCCCCCCCCTCTACCATCTTTGTTAGCTTGTTCTTGTTTACATGTTTATTGGCTGATATAAATATTTTATTTACATGTTTATTTTCTATTTATAATTTACAATTTGTAAAAGTGTTCCTCGCGTTTCATATTTAATAAAAAAAAAGAGTTCAATTTACGGTTTTTTTAATTGACTTTGAAACGCTGCGTTAAAACCGGTTCGATTTGAGCCGATATTTTAAAAACGGATAACTCAATATTTACTCGAGATTTTGCCAACAGATGTTCAAACCGTTATGACGCCTATGAACAAAATCTTAAGGCTTGCACGATATTTTTCCTAATAAAATATTCGAGTTGGCGGTTTTTAAAAATCGACTCAAAATAAGCCGTTTAACAACAGTAGTTGAAAATTTGTGCTCACTAATAAGAACAGGTGTTTTTTTTTACTGTATAACGATTTCAAAAATAAATATTTTTGAATTTGATCAGAGACTCACAGAGGTACCATTTGTACAGCCCGGCCCGGATTTTTTTATCCGAAATTTTTCGGACCGATCCCGGTTTTTTTTTAATTTTGAGGCCCGGTCCGCCCCGGGTAAATTTTAAAAAAATTAAAGTACGGCCCGGTCTCGGCTTTGGGCCGGGCCTACAGGTCTCTAAATTTAATTATTAATTAATATTATTTGTTTAGACATTATTTAATTATTTTTATGTATAGCAGTTTTTATTAACACATTCAATTTATTTGTGCTGAGTGTTCCTATATTTACGATCGGCAACCTCGAATTAATATTAATTATTTTATTTTTTTTTTAAATTTTTTTTAAAAATTAAAGAAGTATTTTATAATTATTTTGGCATTGAAAAAATTGTTTGTAATATTGGATGGATGAAATAAAGAATCTCAAAGCTTAGGACAATATAATTTTTTAAAGCTAAAATATCCAGTTATTATCCGATCTTCAAAAAAAAAATTCGGCTCAAATTGAGCAATTTACCAACACTAGCTCCTAAAGATACATTTTTTTGTAACTCGGGGGGGGGGGGGCTATTTCATTAAAGTCGAATAGAGATAATAAATAAATATATATATTATAACTTGTCTAACGCCTCTTATTAATAATAATGATGCGGTAATCCCGAAAATGGAGAAAATTATGAATGCCCACTCATAAATAAAGAGTGGGGTTTTCGCGTAAGAGACTGCCAAATTGTATATTACCATACAGGCTGTAATCATGGAAATAATCTATTTATTATATCAAAATTTTTTTTTTAAAAAAAAAAATTATAGTTGACTCTTGGTCTGAGATATATATATATATATTTGCTAAGCGGTGTTTCAAATCTAGCCTGCACCATGCGCAGTTAATTAGTGTTGTTAAAAGGGCTCGTTTTGAGCCTTAGAAACGACTAACTCAATGGTCCATCCAGAAAAATATCACGCCAGCCTGAAGATTTTGCTCATAGAAGGAACGAAAGGTCTAGACATATATTAACGAAATCTCGAGGATTGGGCATAATTCTTCTGGCTAAAATATTGGGTCAGCTGTTTTTAAAAAATCGGCCCAAAATGAGCCGTTTAACAGCACAAAAATCTTATAAAGTTAGTTTTTTTGAAATAATAATGTAGTCACAATTTATATTTATTTTATTTTTTATTATTCAAAAGTAAAATTCAGTTGCAAATTTTTTCAATAAACAATAGAAATTGATATTTAAGATCATAGATTCGACCTTTGAATGATAACGATTTTTAAAAACATTATTATCTATGATATTATTCGATAGTTTATCATTTTTTTATTTAAAATGTAACTGGAGCTAGATAGCAGAGGAGTGGACAAACAGCTGTTCTCCTAAAAATAAGGGTGATGGGAGGGGTAGAATTATCGTGTCATTTTCGATATTTTTTTTCATATATATATATAAAGAGGTCATGGGCAGCTCTCTATAAACTTTATAAAATATTTAGTTTAAATGTCTTTAGTTGATGGACATCAATTTACTTTTTAATACATTTAAAGAAGGAATCATCAGTTCTAGGTTTATCATTAATGTCATTGGATACGTGATATATTATATAAGTGTTACCATGCTGAGAATTGCAGACAACATACTCCCAGTCCTTGGAGAAAAGCAAAATAAGCAAGATTTTAAAATGGGCATATTGAATTAAATATTTATTTGTTTTTCTGTGCTTCCAATTCTTGAATTTATCTTCTTTCTAATCGAATTTTTTTTTTGAAATAAGATATAAACTATTTAAAATATTCATTTTTTTTTATTATCTTGGCATTGGCTGCACGTAAGTGTCAGTCAAAGGATATTAAATTTTATAGAAATTTCTTTAAAAGGTAGGTCATACCATAAACCAAAGCCATACTATTTGAGCATTACAAAGAATTATAACGATTAGAAATTATACAAGACCACTCTTAAATATATATATTATATAAATATATACCTATTGCCTTAAAGTAAGAAAACCTTACCAGCTGAAAAGTTTCTTTTTTTTCAATTTTTTTCCAATTAATGAATTTATTTTAGAATAATAGCGTGCAAGTAAACAAATATTTTTTGAACTAAAAAAAATTGCGAATGATGTTTTTCTTCAAAAAACCCCAACACTCTACTGCTCAATTTGTTAGTACGTTGATTTGAATTAATTCAAATTAAAATAAGCAGAAGATAAATAATTTTAATATGCACGAGCTCGAAATTATAAAAGAAGACGATAAATATTTTAATATGCACGAGCTCGAAATTATAAAAGCAGACGATAAATATTTTAATATGCAAGAGCTCGAAATTGTAATAAGCAGACGATAAATATTTTAATATGCAAGCACTTGAAATTGTAATAAGCAGACGATAAATATTTTAATATGCAAGCGCTCAAAATTGCAATAAGCAGACGATACATATTTTTAATATGCAAGAGCTCGAAATTATAATAAGCAGACGATAAATATTTTAATATGCAAGCACTCGAAATTGTAATAAGCAGACGATAGATGTTTTAATATGCAAGCGCTCAAAATTGCAATAAGCAGACGATACATATTTTTAATATGCAAGAGCTCGAAATTATAATAAGCAGACGATAAATATTTTAATATGCAAGAGCTCGAAATAATAATAAGCTGACGATAAATATTTTAATATGCAAGCGCTCAAAATTATAATAAGCAGACGATACATATTTTTAATATGCAAGAGCTCGAAATTATAATAAGCAGACGATAAATATTTTAATATGTAAGCGCTCGAAATAATAATAAGCAGACGATAAATATTTTAATATGTAAGCGCTCGAAATAATAATAAGCAGACGATAAATATTTTAATATGCAAGCGCTCGAAATTGTAATAAGCAGACGATAGATATTTTAATATGCAAGCACTCGAAATTGTAATAAGCAGACGATACATATTTTTAATATGCAAGAGCTCGAAATTATAATAAGCAGACAATAAATATTTTAATATGCAAGCGCTCGAAATAATAATAAGCAGACGATAAATATTTTAATATGCAAGCGCTCAAAATTATAATAAGCAGACGATACATATTTTTAATATGCAAGAGCTCGAAATAATAATAAGCAGACGATAAATATTTTAATATGTAAGCGCTCGAAATAATAATAAGCAGACGATAAATATTTTAATATGCAAGCGCTCGAAATTGTAATAAGCAGACGATAGATATTTTAATATGCAAGCACTCGAAATATTCAAAATTTTTTATTGCAACGTGGTTCAATTTTTTGGCTTGTGAATCTATCATTAAGCTCTCAAATGTTCTGTTAATGCCAGGTCCTGTCTCCACTTCTTTATTGCTACGTTTAAAACTCACAATGTTAAAAGTGAGAATTTATCTCCTATCTTTTTAAAGCAAAGAAATAGACCAGGATGACCTGATTTACGCTAATCATCAAAAATAAAAGATTCATCAATAAATTTCAATTATTTAATGTAAATTTAATAAAAGTAAAGTCGGGCCACAATTTGAGAATTTGATTTTTGCCTTATCTTAATATATAAAAAAAAACACGAAAAGTATCCCTGGCCTAAATTGAGGCGGCCTTTTTATTAGTAGTCACATTTTTGCGTTACAAAAAAAATGCATTAAGCAAATCGTAAACAAAAATAATGTTTAAATTAAAATTATTAAGTTATTATTTATATCCCCGACTATATAAATGAAAAAAAAACGCGTGATATTTGTAGATTTTTTCATACTTTAACAGTTTTAACAAGCGGGATGTAGAAATTTTTATTTTTCGCTTGGGAGACTTTGTAAATGTTGATTAAAGAAAAAGGATATATAATGGATAAATTATCTGGTGAAAAATGATTATTTTTTTGTATAACTTAAAATTTTAATTTTAACTTTTTAATTTTTTCGCCTTTATTTTTCTTATATTAATTTTCTTTTTCTTTTATTTTGATTTATGTTTGTCAATAAAGATGAATAATCAGATTTTAGTATATTTTTTATTTTTTATTTTTTTAGGTTCCAACTTTTTCTCAATAAGCAAAAACTCTCAATTGTATTAGTATCGTAAGAGTCAAAATGTTAAACTGATACTAAAGGTATATCGGAAAGTTCTAGAAGATTCGTGATTGCTATCCTAATTTTATTTAAAAAACGATTGACCGATGACTCAAGGAATTTGCCAGAATCAGGAATGAGAAGGGGATTTTTCAGCAAATTTTAGATAAATTTTTATCAAAATACTCAAAAAAAATGCGGGGGGGGGGGAAGGGAGTTTAGATCCTTAATTATTTATTTTAATATGTGAAGAATATAATTTAAAAAACAATTATTTTAAATCGCCATTTTATTATCGTAAAAAATTAGAAATGAGATGCTAAAAAAAAATTTAGAATTAAATTTTGTTCGAATTATTTTTATCGTAATATTATAATCATATGATTTTTTAAACATAAATATATGGTTAAAAAAAATAAAAGAAATGTGAAATGAAATGAAGAAATTTACTTACGATTTGAAACGAGAATTTTATATATATATATAATTTTGTCCTGATGATTTTTAAGAATGAAAGAATGAAAATTCAAAAATGAAAGTAAAGTAGAGAGAAAATATGTTTATTTAAAGAATGTTATTTTTTTTTTATTTATTAAATAATAAAATTTAACGCAAGGTCTAAAAGTCGAAAGGCTTGGTAATACGAAAGGCTAAAAAATAATATTGAAAATAAAAATAACAAAGAAAATGTTTAATGAGATATTTGATTCAATTATTGCTTTTTTTAGAGAAAAAATATTATAATAACATTATATTATAATATATTAAAAATATGGAAATTTTAAGATCTTTTCAATTTTTTTATTAATTCTTTGAAATAATTTGCGGTTTTTAAAAATTAATTTTATAATATTAATTTTTAAATTAATATTTTTTAATTAAATTAATATTTGGTTATGATTTTATATATTTAGTAAGTATAAATATATTGTAATTACTTGATAAAGAAGTAAATGAAAACATAAATTTTTTAAGGTATTTTTAATTTGAGAAAGCATTTTATAGGGGAAAGGCTAACATCTTAAACGTAATTTTGAATATAATTTAATCATTGAACTCAGAATTTAATTCTCTATCCAAAACTGCTTAGATGTATTTTTTTACGTTTCCGGTTCACAAAATAAATATTTTGTCGCGAAAGACTTTTATAGGGGAAAAGCTAACATCTTAAACGTAATTTTGAATATAATTATATCATTGAACTCAGAATTTATTTCTATATCCAAAACCGCTTCGTTGTAATTTTTTACGTTTCCGGTTCACAAAATAAATTTTTTGTCGCAAAAGACTTTTAGAGGAAAGGCTAACATCTTAAACGTAATTTTGAATATAATTATATCATTGAACTCAGAATTTATTTCTCTATCCAAAACCGCTTAGATGTATTTTTTTACGTTTCCGGTTTACAAAATAAATTTATTGTCGCGAAAGACTTTTATAGGGGAAAGGCTAACGTCTTAAACGTAATTTTGAATATAATTATATCATTGAATTCAGAATTTATTTCTCTATCCAAAACCGCTTAGAAGTATTTTTTACGTTTCCGGTTCACAAAATAAATATTTTGTCGCGAAAGACATTTATAGGGGAAAGGCTAACATCATAAACGTAATTTTGAATATAATTATAATTCTTTATCCAAAACCGCTTAGATGTATTTTAAAGTTTCCGGTTCACAAAATAAATATTTTGTCGCGAAAGACTTTTATAAAGGAAAAGCTAACATCTTAAACGTAATTTTGAATATAATTATATCATTGAACTCAGAATTTAATTCTTTATCCAAAACCTCTTAGATGTATTTTTTAACGTTTCCGGTTCAAAAATAAATATTTTGTCGCGAAAGATTTTTATAGGGGAAAGGCTAACATCTTAAACATAATTTTGAATATAATTATATCATTGAACACAGAATTTAATTCTCTATCCAAAACCGCTTAGATGTATTTTTTTACGTTTCCGGTTCACAAAATAATTTTTTGTCGCGAAAGACTTTTATAGGGGAAAGGCTAACATCTTAAACGTAATTTTGAATATAATTATATCATTGAACTCAGAATTTAATTCTCTATCCAAAACAGCTTAGATGTATTTTTTTACGTTTTCGGTTCACAAAGAGAATTAAATTCTGAGTTTCAATCACTTATAAAAGTCTTTCGCGACAAAATATTTATTTTGTGAACCGGAATGGTAAAAAAATACATCTAAGCGGTTTTGGATAGAGAATTAAATTCTGAGTTCAATGATATAATTATATTCAAAATTACGTTTAGATGTTAGCCTTTCCTATATAAAGTGCTTTCTCAAATTAAAAATACCTTAAAAAATTTATGTTTTCATTTACTTCTTTATCAATTAATTACAATATATTTATACTTACTAAATATATAAAATCATAACCAAATATTAATTTAATTAAAAAATATTAATTTAAAAATTAATATTATAAAATTAATTTTTAAAAACCGCAAGTTATTTCAAAGAATTAATAATAAAATTGAAAATATATTAAAATTTTCATATTTTTAATATAATATAATGTAATGTTATTATAATATTTTTTCTCTAAATAAGCAATAAATCAATCAAATATCTCATTAAACATTTTCCTTGTTATTTTTATTTTCATTATTATTTTTTATCCTTTCGTATTACCAAGCCTTTCGACTTATAGACCTACCCAAAATTTAATGGTAAAACGCGGAAGAATATATATTTTTAAAAAAAAATCTATATAAATTAATCGGAATTAACGCGCACGAAGTGACCGTTTTAAAGGTAGCGTCTCAAAACGCAAATAATAGAAAACGTAAACGCAAGCGTTAACTTTTATTTTTTTCTATATGAAACGTTTAAATTCTAAATAAATAAAAAATCGCTTCCCTTATATTTAATTATAAGAAACAACGTAAGGATGTTAAAAGAAATAAAAAAATTCTTGCCGGACCTGAAACTTTTTTAAAAAAAAAAACCCAGGCCGGTGTATGATTGTGAAATCAATATCCATTGTAGTTTCAATACCGTATTGATATTATCATTGTAGATTCAATACCGTAGTGATATTTTGGTATTGTAGAATCAATACCGTATTGATATTATCATTGTAGATTCAATACCGTAGTGATATTTTGGTATTGTAGAATCAATACCGTATTGATATTATCATTGTAGATTCAATACCGTAGTGATATTTTGGTATTGTAGAATCAATACCGTATTAATTTTTAAGAGAAGTTTTCATCGCTTTAAATATATTGGCGGCCATTAAAATTGTAAAATATCTATTCATTATATATTTATTTATCGCTTCAAATATATTGGGGGCCATTAAAATTATAAAATAAATATTATTATTTATTTATTCATCGTTTCAAATATATTGGCGCCCAATATAAAATTATAAAATATTTTTTATTATATATATTTTTCATCGCTTCAAAAATATTGGCGGCCATTTTTGATTTGTAAAAATTTATTTAAATTAAATGATTATATAAATGATTTTCTATTCTTTTATATAATTTTTTAAGGGAGTTTATTTATTTTACAATTCTTAATATCCTATATAAATTTTAGTTGTTTAATATATACAAGTTTTCTTCATGCATCATATTATTGAAATCTCAAGCCTTAAAATTTTAATAGACAAAAGTAAGCTAATCACAAACAAATAAGGGTTTCTATTACGTCAAAGGATCTCAATCACTCACTCTGATTAATCATTTTCTCTTGGCTTCTTAAAATCGTCATTTTATTTATTAGATATATACACAAATTTACTTCATACATCGTATTATTGGAATCTCAAGCCTTAAAATTTTAATAGACAAAAGTCAAATCACAAACAAATAAGGTTTTCTATTATGTCAAAGCATGTCAATCACTATCTATCACTCTGATTAATCATTTCCTCTTGGCCTCTTAAAATCGTCATTTTATTTATTAGATGTATATATAATTATATTTTTAGCTGATTAAAATTTAACACTTATATTTATGGAATATAAAATTTTTTATACAGATATAAAATTAAGTTTAAAATCAAATCTTAATGTTTAAATTATTATTTTAAACTGAAACAACTATTTTTGTTTGTATATATATATTTTATTGCAATAATATTAAAATTGGCTGATTTCTTAGTACTATTTAAATAAAAAGGATATACATAATTTTATTTCAAAAAAACAAGAAAAATATTATAAAAAGAAAATATATCCCAAAAAAGGAAACATAATTATCACAAAAAATTGAGTGTATATTACACTATAATACGATTAAAATGATCTGAAGATGCATTTATCAAATATATATATTAAAATTTAAATTTTTTATACAGTCCATTTTTGATAATGCAGAATATGTAATATATTTCATTCCCATTTTTACAATAAATAATAATTGGCGTCTGGAAAAACGTAGCAGACGCTACGATATCTAATTCATACGCCCACGTTCCAAGTTGATGTTTTTTTGTATCAACCAAATGTTTTATTATGTCCTTCCCCATAAAATCAGTAAAAATATCATTATTTTCCAACAGCATCATATAAGAGATTATAGATCCCCTTATAATTGCATGGTGATCCTCGCTGCCTGTGATCTCTTTGCTCAAGCAGCGATTCGGACATTTTTCTACTCTTTCTATCCGCACGTCGTGAGTTCCAGATCAGGACCTGTCCGACTTCATAAGGGATTTTATCCCTTTTGCCTTTTTTGATAATCTTTTTTTTGTCTATCTTGGGAAACACGTATATTTTCTTTTGCCCTTTTCCATACTCATTATTCTTTCTAATATTTCACTCTCTTCAAAGTCATTCTCAATATTATTATTGATTTCCTCAATATCTGGCTTAATTTTCGAATTTCTGTTGGCAGCTTTGCGTTCCGACCATACATCATATAAAATGGGGTGAATCCTGTAGATTTGTGGACACTGGTTCGCATTGCAAACAGTACCCCCGTAAGAACCCTAGGCCATAGTGTTTGATCATCACTCAAAACCTTTAACATTGAGTTTTGAATAGTATTATTATTCCTTTCTGTCAACCCATTAGCTTGAGGATGATATGCGCTGCAAATGCGTTGTTCCGTCCCTGTCATTTTATGTAGTCTCGTGGCCATTTCATTGACAAGCTCTCGGCCTTGATCATTGATTTGTATCTATATTGTATAAAATCAAAAGTTTATAAATTATCATAAATGCACATTTTTTAACCGACATATATTTATATAATTTGATTTACAGTTGCGCAGCCATGGCGGCAAATCAGACCATAAATAAATTTACAAGTCTCTTCAGCTGTCTTTGATTTCATAGGTTCTGCCTCAACCCATTTTGTGAAATAATCAGAGGCAACTGCAATACAAGTGTAGCCTTCTTCTGAAGTGGGCAGGCTGCAAAGATCAATTCCTATTTGAGCCCATGGAAGAGGTGGTACATCTATTGGATTTAAAGTTGAAGATATTTTAGAAAATCTTGTATTGGCCTTCTGACATCTATCACATGATTTTATAAAATCTATAGTGTCTTGAAATAATTTTGGCCACCTATATCTATAAACACAAA